CCTGCAGCTGCTCCACTGACGCCACATTCTCGATACCAGACCGATCTGAGGAGGAGAAGCAAAACATCAGGAACACTGTTCAGAGATCTGCAAAGTGGAAATAACGCAAAGACTGTAAGAGACTGGAGCTACTGATCCATGCGTCGTTGATCTGGTAATCAGGTGCTCACTTCAGAAGATTTGAGGACACTCATTTCTGTTGTTTTTGCCTAGTATGTGTTGCCAGTTACAGAAAGGTCACCAGGCTAGCAACAGTGACGAGGTGAGGCAGAGCGTAGCAACTACAGACGATAAGGAAGCATGACTCCTCACCTGCAGACACCAGCACCACGGCGGTGAACAGTCCCAGTTCCTGGGCGCTCAGCTCCAGCACAGCCAGTTTGTGGCTGAAGTCGAACATGGCACTCAGCAGCTCGTTCATCCCCATTGCCTGCAGCTCCACTAGGCTGTAGGTGGCGCCAGAGATGAAAGTCACAGTCTGCTCCTTCACATTGAAAAGGGAAGCGAAGCGCACCATCAGCACCTGGGAGAAGAAGAAGAGGAAAGAATAAGATGCAAGGGAATACACCAAACTTAATCCTAGAAATACAGATTTGACATATTTACAGTGTCTAAATAAGTTCCTAAATTAAGCTTAGAGTTTAGAAAAATGACTGGAAACTAGGTCCTCTCATTTCTCTCTTTTGCATAGAGCCATGATAACGGCTGCAGGTTGTAGCTTCATGTAAGGAAACAATTTGAACATCTGTTACTTTATATTAAATCCTTTCTGACGCCAAATAAGTAAAACTGCAGTTGTTGTAAATACCTCAAAGGTGCCCGCCTTGAGCAAGGTGACCTGGTCGTTCTCAGTCAGAGAACTGAATCCGGGGATGTGTTTGGCAAACTCCACCACCTCCTTGACAGCAGGGGTGAAGGACACGGAGAAGTCCTCCCAGATTTCCTGAGGGTTCTTCGCGGGGTCGGCTTGAGGCTGCATGTTCATTGGGCAGGCCTGGAGAGAGAGGAGAGGTCAGTTCACCTGAACATCAACATCACAGGTAACAGAGACTTCTGAGAGACGGTGTGTTACTTTTCATGAGTTAAGAACATTTCCCGATCAGTTCTTACCAACACTATCCCGGTGCGGTTCTTCATTGGACAGTTCTGCCCCTGGGTCCCGGGGTCGTTGAACCCTTCTCTCCAATCATATTGCTGTTGTGGCAGGGTCCGCTTCCTGTTGCCTTGGTGATGATGCGTAATGTTCCTGCTGTTGTCCTGCTGCAGGTAGTGCCTGTCGTGGTTGTTGTTATGATGGTAGATAGTATTTAGCCCGTTGATGGTAACCGTTTTGGCACCTGTTGGGCCCCAGTGCTCCGCCTCATTGTTGCGTAGTGGGCGTGGTTATTCTGCTGTTGCTGAGGTGGCGTGTGGGGATTGGCTAGTTTGTCATGAGCATACAGGAAGGTCTCGCGGTGAGCTAGGCGATGGCGCTGATGGTGGTGTCCAACCAGGGCTGGAGGGGGGTGAGGGGCGGGGAGGGCTCTGGCAGAGAAGGGAGGAAAAGGGGAGGAGGAAGAGGAGGGGGTGAGGAGGAAGTGGCTGGAGCGGGAGGGGAGGGCGAGGCGGGAGCCAAAGGCAGAGCTTGGGCGGAGGCTGGGGGCGATGGTCACCCGCAACGGAGAGGATGAAGAGGCGGGGGAGGGGGAGGAGGAGGAGGTGAGGCTGGCTAGCTGGAAATCGTTCTGCATGTTCGCCATGTTGTTCATGGCGCTCTGCATCTCAGCCAGCATCCTTTGCTTCTCGCGCTTCGGGATCCCGACCGAAACGAACGGCTGCGGACAGAAGAGGAAGAAGATGTCAGTTAAATGAGACGTAAGTGGTGTACACACGGGTAGATGTGACGTGTAATCAGGAAATACTGTCAAAAAGTTCAGACAGACAGGTTTGCTGACAAACTCATGGACAGACAGACAGACGGGTACTCACCGTCGCGGCTCATGCCCACAGACAGGCACTTCTTAAAGCGACACTGCTGACAGCGATTCCTGTTTATCCTCATGATGGTGCAGCTCTCGTTCTTCAGACACTTCTTATACTGAATGTTCTGCTGGATGCTGCGGCGGAAAAATCCCTTCAGGAGGAAACGCAATCGGAGAAGCAGAGAGTCAGACGTTGTGTTTTTACTCGACGTGAATGTGTTAAAAGTCGACGCAAAGGAATGACGAGAGAATTGCAGCAGCAGTTCAGGATTCTCAAACAAGTTCAAAGTGTCAATGGTGGGTTTCTTTTTACATCTACTGTTGAAAAACAATACCAGTACAAGGATATTTGGTACAACAGGACGTCAGAAAGTTAAATCTTGGTATTCATGTTGAAATGTGTGTGAATCACAGGGTGTGTGTGGGTGAGCGATGAATATCTCACCTTGCATCCTTCGCACGCATGAACTCCATAATGGAAACCTGAGGCCACGTCTCCACAGACCTTACACAGCAACACCATGCCATTGAGTTCTGAAACACACACACAAGCGAACAGAAAAATGTGTTAATTCTCTGAGATCACAGCTAATTAAGATCTGATCATCATTTAAGTTTGCAATGTGAGTTTGAAAATGAATCACATGGACGTCCCTCTTTCCCATAAAAAAGTAAAGAGTGTGTGAGGATGAGTATCTGCTGTTTTTAACTACTCACTGGTCAGACTGGCCACAGACTTGCTGGGCGATGCCCTCACAGGGCCTCCGTCGTCTCGGCCTCTCGGCGAGCCTCCTGCTGAAGAGGAGGCGGAAGAGGAGCCGTCATCGCCTGCAGAGCCCGAGCTTGAGCTGCCGCTGCTGCTGAGGAAGGAGGGAGTCAAAGACGAGGAGGAGTTCTCGCTGTACATGGAGACTGGACTTGTCCTGGGCGGAGAGCCTCCAGAGGAACCGATGTAAGAGATGACACCTCCTGCAGAGAGGAGCACAGAAAGGTGAGTAATGACCCACACCTTACATCCGCACTAAAATCAGTTAACACAAAGTCCACTCGAGGCTGAAGGGGAACTTGGAACTTATGACCGTCATTGGTCATAAACTAAAGCAACAACAAATCAGATTATCAGAAGAGTTAGTAAAACACCATTTCATCAAAAGTCATCAAATGCTATCATAATTGGAAGCAGCCATATCAGAAAAGCCCTATCATCAGCTTGTGACCTGTAACTGGAAGTTATCACAAAACTCTTACTGCAAGTATCCACATTACACACATACACACAAAAAATCCATCAGGCCAGTAGTAGTAGTACTTCCCTTGTTGTGCATGGATTGTCTGGTTGCTTTAAACATTTCCATTCAATTCAAAATGTTATTAAAGAACAATGATGTCGAGTTACACAAAAGAGCACAAATAAAACAACAGAGACAGGATGATTCTCTGTTAAACAACAACAATCGCTCACTTTGGTTTCAAGTGGTTTCATTGTCTTAATTTGTCCAAGAGAAAAAAACAGTGTCAGTCTTGAGAGTGTGTTGGAAATTGTTCCTCATTTTAGAGCCAAAAAGCTTAATTCAAGTTTCCAAGTTCAGAGAAAACCATACCAACCAAAGGCAATGGACAGTCGTGTTAAATAAGGTAGGATAAAAGAGACGTGATTATCACGACTCGAGAACACCAAACAACACCTCTCACCCAGTGCAGCTCTCAGCTGTGAACTTTGCTGTTTTTTACTTCCTTCCATTTGCCGTGCACCTTAACTGCCTCTGCTTTATCTGCTCTCATGCACTACATCACTTTATTCTATCCATTTTATATCAGTATTCATACAGCTCTGGTTACTTATTCCTGTTGTTTCTTATCCATCATTGCACTACGGTCACTTTATTTATCTAATTCTTACCTTTACAGTTATATTGTTTATATTAGTTATGTTGTTCCATTATTCATTATGCACCTTATAACTTATCATTTAGTATTTAGCCTACTTGCACATAGCTCTGTATATATATTTATTTCTCATTTACTGCACATAGTTCTGGTTACATCTGTTTTTCATCTGTTAGTCCGATCACTGTTACAGACTGTTTCACTGCTGCAGGCTGAAGAAATCCACTGGAGCAATTCTGAAACTCTTTGTACCTCTTAGTGGTCTGTGTAGGTTCTCAATCACCCAGGTCATGGTAAAATCCAAAGCTCGATCCAAAGGCAACTGGACTTGGTTGAAGATCTTGAAGAGTTTTCACCTCTTCTTCTTCAGCTCTGAACCAACTGACTTAAAGCTGAAGGATCGGATCTGTTGGGACAGTTCAGAGCTTGTCCCCTTTTCTATCCATAGGTTTGGGGGGGGGGGGGGGGGGGCGGTCTGTGTTTGTAATGCTGGAAACGATCCCATTGATGCGGGGAAACGGAGAGGTTAGCTTAGCATACTGAAGAGTTTGTTTTTTTTAATTATGGGATTGCTTGTTTTCTTTTTTTTACAAACTGTGCAGCATGTTGACTTTATAAATAAATGTAAATGCAATGCTTGTGCTGTCTTGAACACTAGAACAATTCTAAGACTGGGAAACAACTTTGCATTAGAAGCCAACTTAATGTCTTTAGTTTTTTCAAATTGTTGTTTTCGAATTGCCTCCAGAAGATGTCACAAGGGATAATGATGGTTTAGCTCACTTTCATTCAGAAACATGATTTGTTTTCTATTTTATTGTCAAATGTTTATTTTTCATGCTACACTTGGTTTCATGTTTTGAAATTCATTCAAAAATTCATAAAGATCTCTGTGGATCTTTAGCCTGCTAATCATGAGAGTCGTTAGCTGAGTCGCTGAACTAGTTTCGCCAAGTGTCGTTAACACCCCGAGTCGTTTGTGGGTCATTGAGGTCACACGTACCGAGGTGGGAATGGGGCTTCAGTTGTTTTAAAAGACAATTAAAAAAAACATTGTAGGTTGGTGAAAGACAGAGTCGTGATGGCTTCTTTAACATCCCGTTCAAACCAACGGATTCTGTCCTGAAGAGCTGTCTCTCCGATGCATTTGTGGTAGTTCAGTCCTCCCCGATGAATAAATCCCTGCATTCATTGTTGCACTGGATAGCAACAATAGGGAGTCTTGTCCTTGGGTTGGGCCCAACTTCTGCCTCAAGGTGTTGGATGGTTAGTAGTGAACCAGGATGTTGTGTCTGTGATAAATCCTCTTAAGTATGGAGTTACAATGCTGTGACGTTTGTTTTTTCTCTTCTTCCTTGTTGGTGACTGTGCTTTTTTGGAAGTCTTGACGAAGGCCCAGGTCGAGTAACATCAAGTCTTGAGTGCTTCCCTCAGATGTTTCTGTGGCCCCTGTCTTCCCTCTGCCCTTGCAGGTGCACTCACATCCCTATGGTGCAGGGTTCTGATGACACTTAACTTGTGTTGTAGTGGATGGTGGGGTTCAAAAAGTGAAAACTGGTCTCTGTGTGGGTAGGTTTTTCTTGTCGACTCAAATGTTGAGGCTTCTGTCTTCTTCAATGCACACCTCACTGTCCAAGAAGGCGAAGACGTCCTCTCTGGTAAACATGATGTTGTTGTCTACTCTGTTGACGTGTACTGTGTCCAGTTGCCTTTGGATTAAGCTTCCAATTGACCTTTCTGTTAATATCAATGTCAAAATAAATAAATAGGTATTGTTGGAGTGGAATAACCTTTTAACAGCTGCAGAGGTTTCATAAAATATAGAGACTAGTTCTACAGATGTGCTCGTCTTCATTTCATTGTAAGAGAGGGAGATAACAAGTTTTGCAGCAGCTGCACTGAGATCAGTTCAATGACCTCACACTGCCGGGCATGAGGAGCTGTGGGTGTGCGTGTGTGGGAGGAGCGACGGGAAAGAAAAGGGGGGGGGGGGGGATATTTACGCAATAGCCTCGTGGCTGTTTTTCATGTAACCACGGTAACAGGCGGGCGAGGAGAGCGGAGGAGGGAGTTGTTCGGTAGTGAAAGTTCAAAAACAAAACAGCTTTCTAGGAATTCTTAGAACAAAGGGGGAGGAGTGAACAACAGCTGAGGGGGAGGAGATTCCTCCTCGCTCCCTCCCCTCTCAGAAACACGAGATGACAATGTGTTCTTTAAACTCACCTACTGCTTAGTAGATGTACATATTAGGCTTTAAGTAGTTGCTAGCATGATAGCAGTATACATACAGAACGCCTAAGTGGTAGACAACTATGCTTTAACTACATTTCCCATAAAACTTTGGTGCATGTTGCCATTGATTCAGAGAGTTGTGCCTTAGAGTTGTTAGCATCCAGTCAACAAGTTAAGTGTTAGCAGTTTAAGATGATTTTTTTTTTTTTTTGTCATTTGGCAGCCTTTGAAAGTGAACATCCCACTGCATGCTAATCCCTGTGTCATGTGTTTGCAGTGTGAACGTACAGCCTGAGAACAGAAGAACAGCAGGTGACACCACACCTGCAGCATGAGTCTAAACTGTAGTCTGTTCTCTCATTCTACAGCAGCAGTCGCTCTGTGTTTCCCACGTGTTGGAGCTGCACGTGACGCCTGATTTCTGTCTGGAGCGCCTGTCTGAGAGGTGATAACACACACGCACACACGCACACACACACATTCAGACAAACCCTGCTGCTTCAATGAGAGCACACTCAAAAACATAAAAACATGTTGATGAGTCAGGCTGTGTGATCGACACGTGCACCTCGACATGATTCTGTTTTTGTCATGTTGATGGTTTTAATAATTATTCTTGTTGTCACATGTCCTGTTGTGAAACCTCAAAAAGGTTTCAATATGAATCACATATTAACCCTCCAAACTGAGTGAGGGTAGTGAAACCAGATGGTTAGAGAAATGCTGATACAGTTGAGTGTCCTGATCTTATATTCTGGGATACCGTATCGGCTTTTAATTGATAGTTTCCATGCAAATGAAACTGGGTTGACGGTGTCTATCTTCAGCAGTTTGACCCTTCTACCCAAACATTTTACAACAGTTTAACTAAGAGGAAAAGAAAATATGCATACCTTATTAAAAAAAAACGAGTCATTGTGATAAAGAAGCTCTGACTCTGATAGCGGAGTCGTTAGCTTGAAAGAAAAGAGGCTGTGTCGGAAATCGCATATTTGACTATTCATACTCGACGCAGTGTCCATTACAAAATCATAGAATGCAATTTTGTGTATGTGAAAAATACCCAGATGTATACTAGATCAGCAAGAACATTGACACATGAAATGGGAGCACACTGTTGATACTAAACCGCCCCACAATGCACCGCGGCTCTACGCTATCAGACTGTCCAATTGCGGAGCTCGCCAAGCCAGTCGACTAGCGGCTTAAAACAAAAACAAAAAAACGTACTGAAATACATATTACATGTTGCAAATAATATTAAAATGACTACACAGCTGTATTATTATTCTATTATTGTATTTTTTCTCCCTTTAGTTAACTGATGTATATGTTTGATAATTATATTACTTTTTCTTGAGCTGTTGTGACAATAAAATTTTTTATTGGTAATGAATGTTTGCATATTGTTGTTGAATTGTATTTGAGGTCCGACTGTCGCGCTAGCTTGATGCTAGCTCATCAAACGAAACTCTGACTGGAAATACGACGCGTTACCCGTCGCATGTTGCTGCTAACAGCATACTAAGGTTTGGGTTAGTATGCAGTTTGTGGTTTTGGAAACGGCCACTGTGGCTTAAACTCCAGGTGTGTGCTCGCAATTTGCTATATGCTAATTTAAAAAAATAAAACCAATTCACAGCTTCAAGTCCTGTTAAATCAGAGTTAAAACTCACTGCAAGGGAATATTTTCAGCACAGACATAAAAGACCTCAGTGCAGAGAGGAGGAACAACCCTGCACAGTACTTCAGTGGATATTTTCAGTGTTGTTTGAGCGTGATTATAGAGGACAAAATAAAGTTTTACACTTTACAACACACACATTCAACCATAATATCATCATGGAGAGGTATCATGCAGGACTACAGGAATACAAGAATGGGTTTAATGCTGTACTATACAGCTTTCATTGTATGTGTGTATGATCACTTTTATGGTAACTGATGTTTGCTTTGTCATGTGTATGAATTATTAATGACTGTGGAAAGACTTTCTTTCTTCTGTATGCTGTGTTTTGATTTTGTTTTTAACCTCAGTGTAAAGCACACTGAGCTTATCTGTAATGAAATGTACTATATAAATAAAATTGCTATTGCTGGAGAAATGCTATAAATACATCACGCAGCGTTATAGGACTAAAATAAGAGTGTGAGGCCGTCTGAGACGTACAATGCACAATGAAACTGTAGATTTGTTAGAAATATGTTTCTCTCTGCCTCCTGCAGACTTGGATGAGGGGAGGGGGGTGTATTCATGTGTGTGTGTGTGTGTGTATATATGTCTGCGTTTGTGTGTGTGTCACGCCCCTGAAACACGTGAGTCCTCCACACAGCAGACTCTGCAACGGGACTGGCTCGAGTGCGGCCCGCACACACACACACACACACACCCCCCCTCCTTCTGCTTCACTCTCACGTTTCCTCCATTCATCACAACACACACACACACACACGCGCACTCTGACACACACAGCTGGAATAAAATACTTGTGATGACTGACGCTGTCTGTCTATGATTAACCCTCAAACAGCCCTATAAGGAAGTGAGTGTGTGTGTGTGTGTGTGTGTGTGTGTGTGTGTGTGTGTGGGGTTTTACAATGCTACAGGAGGGGGGAGTACATGTGACCGAATCAATGAAGGAGCTTTACTGCCTCACTCAAAGACATTGTTAACTGAAAATACTAAAAAGAAATCACTTGATAATGATCTATAATAAGAAATGTTTGCTATTCTTTGTCTATAATGAAACTACCTTTGTTTTGACGTTGGAACATTTTAAGTTGATTTTGTGTCTTCATATAAACAGCTGTTTCTTTCAAGACGAGAGTGAAGAAGTTAAATAAGCCGTTTTATAATTCAGGACAGTGTTTCCCAAACTGTGGTACGGGTACCGGAAAAGGTCTGTGCACAAGAGCCCTACCTTTAAAACGAAAACATGTCATTTCATTTTGTTTCACTAACATTTTTTTTATTGATTCATATCTTCAACATTTAAGAAAATAATCAGACAATGATTGGACATGAAGCCCTGTGATTGTTAGCTTAATATTGTTGGATTTAGACCCTTCAGTCTTTTATTGAAGTTGATAAAAAAGAGGTTTGTGAACTCTGCAATCATGTTTGCGTTTCTCCAAACCACTGCCTGTGTTCCTTGAACATCCACACCTTCATCCTCACACTCCTCAGCTGCTTCATTCAGCCTGCCTGTCTGCCATGTGACTGGTATCATCCAATCCGGTTCTTGCAGGTTTACAAACAACATGACGCTAAATGGCTAGATCTCAAGACACCGGATGAACACGTTTCAGATCAAACACGATATCTTTCTCTTTTTTTTATGGCTCCCACCAGTCGAGGCGGATGTCTGGTTCTGCTCGAGGTTTCTGCCTGTTAAAGGTTTTTCTTGCTCATGGTGGATACATGTGGATTATTATGACAAGGAGTATGTGTGTTGTTTTGTTTGGCTCTTTCAATTCCTTCTGAGTAGATTAGCGTTTAGCTCAGAGGAAGAAGAGACGAACCAGAGAGGGTGATGATGGGATTCTGCTGCTCCACTTTCCCACACAGGAGGGAGGGAGGGAGGATGAAGGGGGGGGGGGGGGTTCAGTCATAGCTGTGCATGTTAAATAGGCATGAAGAAAGAAGAGGTAGCCTAATAGAATTCTCTGCCTGTCTCAAATATGAATAAATGTATACACAGCATAGAAGCTGGAAACATGTTAATATACAATCATAAGCTTTTACTAAACTTAAGGCATTACGCGCAATATTCTAAAAACATTTGAATAACTTTCATTTTAGTTTTTGCAATATACTTAGAATTAAATTATCTTTGTTTATGCGACAAACGTATAGGATTGAGAAGTTCTTAAAAAAAAAAAGCCAGTTAAAAAACGGTTGATTAATTATACCTTTCTTCGATTGATATGTGAGTTATGCAGCCTGTCATGTGTTATACAGGTGAACATGTTTGTGGACATCAGGATCTCAGATGAGCACAGGCAGAAACACTCAACAGACTGAGAGAAGGAGGTGATGGGGAGGAGAATTATGCAATGAGCTGAGGCTGAGTAGCAGCCAATCACAGCGCTGAGATCAGTGAAAACAAAGCGCACATGGCCCGCTTTGCCGGTCCATGTGAACCGGCAACGGCCTCTGTAGTGGAGGGAGGGAGCACACACATTGGCTTCCTGTTTTTTTGTTTGTTTCTTTGTTTGTTTTTAACACTCCTCTGATCAGTCTTCGGAAATATTTGTTCAATAAAAACTGTCTTCTGAGTTTGTTTTGCTTCATGTCTAAGTCTTCCCCCATATTCAACAGTTACAGATGACACAGTTGGAAGGCGGGGAGCTTCATTTACAGTTTGCTTCTTATTTTAGACACGACTTTCTTTTTACGCACAGTCTGGAGCTGTGCTGCTCAGCTCTGCAGCTCTGCGCGTCATTCATAATGTAGGCCTACCGAATGTGATCAGCTACCCTGTTAACATTAAACAAGCCCTGAACAGCCACTAAGTTAAATCTGACACCTAAGACAGGCATCACAAAGATCAAACACAGGTGCATTTTGACTTGAGGTGTTCTGCTCAAAGTCAACTCCTGCAGCCTGAAGCTCCTGATGCAAATTCCCGCATTAGTCTAAACAAGAAAATTTGAATAAAGAAGAGGTAGAAATGTAAAAAAATAAGTGGACAGTTGTGCATTCATCCCCACAACAACTTTCGCACCTGGACTGACACTTGTCCGAACTCGTTGAACTGCAGGAACACACCTACTCGCATTGCATTGTTTTCTTTGTTTTTTTGGAGAGTAAGGGGGTAAGGAGAATGAATGGGAATGGTAGGGTGTTGTTTACCTGTGTTGTTGTTGTTGTTGTTGTTGTTGTTGTTTGTGTCCATGGCAGTCGTCGTCATCCTCAGCTCCATCGCAGGATTGCGTTTTTTAAACAAGTTTTTAGTTTACAGCTCCGAAGTCCGCATCACAAGCTTCAACACTCAGCAGGTAGAGTGAAAAGAGTCTCCACTGTTCTATTCCATAGAAATCTATTTTTTTTTCACTTCTTTCTCCAGCTCTAGTGATGTCTTTCTGTCGCGCGAGGAGCCTGTCATTTGCTGCACGAGCTTCCACCTCTCCTTTCTCTATATTTTTTCTTTCAAACGGGGCGCGCGCGCAGCAAGCAGGCTGCTGGATGATGATGATGACGACGTGCCCGCACGCGGCAGAAAAACGGGACCATGTGACCGCGGGGAGAGCCTCGTGCCCAGTGACACATTTTCGCCCCTCCTCTCCAAAAACCTCCGCGTGGAGTAGATGCTTGTTTAAAATCCACGAGCACGTGGAGCGGCCCTTAGAGAGGCCCGCAGCTTTGGATTGTGGGAAATGTAGAGGAGGGGATTAGACTGAAGGCTAAACGAGATTCAGTTACTGTTCTTATAAAAAAGTGGCCTTGTAAAAGAAGGTAAAAGAAATTACCTATAAAAGACTTAAAAAAAGGTTAAAAAAAATAAAAAAAAATAATAATAATAATTAATTCGTAAAATTGAAAAAAAATTAAAAAGGTAAAATAATTACCTATAAAGTGCTCTTGCAATGGATGAAAAAGGTGAATAGACTAAATAGTAGGCTAATATGTATTTGATTTGTAATATTAAGTTTGTATTTTTATGTTTTTTAAATAATTTGTTTATGTTTTAAGATGAGGTTTTGAGATAAGCCCACATTGGTTTCTTCCTCACCTGGACATGTGACTTTTTGTTGGTCTGACATTTCTTTCAGCAATGTGCAAATTAACTAATAATTATGGAAGCCCAAACCGGACCTCCATACATCTCATTTAAGTCTTTAATATCATGATAACAAGTAAATTGTGGTTGTTTTCTCGAGATCACAACGCATGTGCTGCTATAGACTGCTGGAGGACCTGGGACATTCTCTCTGGGTTCTAGTCTGACCTGGTCTCCTTTACACTCTTTTCCCCACTCTCTCGCTCACCCCTAGGTCCTACTCTACCCACTGTCCTATCAAATAAAGGCATAACCACCCCCCCCCCCAAAAATATAGAATATATAAAAATATAATTATTAAAGATTAAAAAGAAAAAACGTTTTAAAATGAAGTAAATTGAAGGAAATAGGTTTAGCCTTTATGAATAGAGTTTGTAACAGTAGTGCATGTAACCTCTTTTTCTAAAATAAAGCCAGTGCAGAAGGGCCTTCTTGGAGGGGTAAGAACAGAATAACTTATGGTGCCACCATCTGCCCAAATGTACTACATTTAAAACTACACTTCCTGAGGTCCACAGCAAAAGGCTTGCTAAGGATGCAGTGGATCGAGTCAAATGTTATTGAGTTACATATGACAGACAGGAAGACAGATAGACAGATCCCACCCTTTACAGTTAGCTGTTAGCTCAGCGTAGTGGATGAATGGACTGCAGAAGATTTCAGACTTAAGGCATCCATTGTAACTCAAAACCACACAGAAACAGAAAGTCTGATGCCGCCCCCTGCTGGTCAACTGTTATACTGCACTGGTCAAAAGACACTGACACCTGCATCAAGATATCCAAACCCAAAAATAATGTTTGAGACGGGCTGGAGGGTGAAGTGATAGTGATAGATTAGCAGTTGGGGGGAATATAAAATTAAACAAAAAACAACAAACATCAGAAGCATGATACTGAGAATGTCAGTAAAAATACAATGAAGTAAACACGTGACATGTGGCTCCTTTCCTGCATGTCATTCCCCGCTCTCTCTCTCTCTCTCTGATTTCCAACTCTATCCACTGTCCTCTCTCTCCATCAAAGGCACAAAAAGCCTTCTTTAAAAAAGAAAAAAAAAAGAAGCATAAGTAAGTATAAAGAAAATAATTGAAGTTAAATGCTGAATTTCATGAACCAGCTAAATGGAACTTATTTTGTGTAGCAGTTAAAACTGCACTATGAGTCAGAGCTTATTGATTTGAGAGGAAAAGAAAGAGCGATAGAGAGAGAGGGAGAGAAAGATAGAGATCCAGCTCCAAAAGAGGAGAGTGGGGAGCTCAGACACTCCTGTTAGAACCTATCCTGCCAGTGTGGGACCTTCCTGGGCCCCCCTTTACGGGATAAGACGGGACCCAGGAGGTCCCCCTTTCTCGTAAAGAGGAGACCACCTGGGTCCCTCTTACGCCTTCTACTGACAGGACAGTGCCAGTATAGAGGTGACTCTACCTGACACTGAACCTGATCTAACCAGGTGTTTGAGCTCCACTTCTCCTCTTTGGGAGTGGTACTCTGACAGCTCACACGGGTCTGCACTATGAGTCAGAGCTTATTGATTTGAGAGGAAAAGAAAGAGTGAGAGAGAAAGAGGGAGAGAAAGATAGAGATCCAGCTCCAAAAGAGGAGAGTGGGGAGCTCAAACACTCTTATTGAAGCCTGTCCTGACAGTGGGGACCTTTGGGGGTCCCCTACGTCTTACTGGCAGGACGGTGCCAGTATAGATCCACCAGCACCTGGCTCTTGGCGAGCCTTGGTCTATACAGACCATGCTGTGACTCTACCTGACACTTAGGGCCTCAACCTGGATCTAGCCAGGTGATAGAGCTCCACATCTCCTCTTTGGAAGTGGTACTCTGACTGCTCACACGGGTCCTATCTATAACCTCGGTTTGAGCGTTTTATGACGTACTCAATGACGTCATTAAAGGAACAGCGCGGATCGAACGTGCCGCTGTATTTTGGTGTATTTGAATCCATGGTTACTAAGCTAGATAGGATCATTATAAAAAATAACAAATAGGTCTCTTATGTTGAATTGTAAATAGGCTACAATAAGCCCATGACACTCCTGATAACACTCCCGTTTTGTATGAATGGAGATACAACGTTACCAGATCGTCTATTCATCAAGATGCACACACCCAATCCAAAACTACAAAACTTAAACCCGGCTGCACTCTGCGCACGCGCAAAGCGAGAAGGGTTTGATAACATTTATTTGTGTACTATTGTGTAACTTAATTAAAGTCATAAAAACACTCATTTGCTTCTTTCACATCAATATCTAATTCTGTTTGAAATATATGTTGCTATGGTAACAGTGATTGTTACTAATGAAAAGGACAGTAAAACACTCAAGCACCTGCTGTCTATTCATGGGTACCAAAAAGTAGAATCTCTGTGGACCTGTCTGCACCTCTTTTACTGTGTGTTTGCTCTTCTGTCTTAGAAACAACAGAGTTCTCCTCCATGTGTGTCACTGTGCTCAAATGTCTGCACCAGTTGTTGATGCACACTGAGGCTTTTCAGGATAGAAGAAAGACAAGACTGCAGAAATAATAATATTTGTGAAAAACTGAATTTACTCAAGATGA